GGTTGTGGCTGAGAGGGATGAGGTCTTGAAGAGCACCAACCTTCTGGTCGTGTAGCAGGAACTTCTGGAAGTCATAAAGGGAGACTTGGCACAGCTCGGGGCGGTCCACATTCCTGGGACATGGAGTGACCATCAGCAAGAACCAAGAGCAGGAGTTGGGGTAGAGCCCGTGGGGGCGTTGAGGCCGCCTACATCTCAGCCCCCTGATGCCCCCCACTCCTGCCTCGCTCCTGCCAGCTCCAGGCCATGGGGGTGTCAGGAGCACCCTGAGCTGTTGGGTGCTGCTAGAGCAAATGCTTCCAATGTCACCCTGTGACCTGGGAGAGGCAGGCACCTAACCAGAGCATGCAGCTTTGCCCAAGGATGCGGGAAGGAGGGCAGTGCGACGTGTCCCAGCATCCCTGGCACCCATCCCTGCTCATATCCCTGCTCACATCCCCCATCCCATTCTTGCACCCATCCTTGGTCACATCCCTGGTCCCATCCCTACACCTATCCCTGCTCAAATCCTTGCTCCCATCCCCTCTCCCATTCCCATTCCCATCCCTGCTCATCTCTGCTCATCCCTGCTCCCATCCCTACTCCTATCCCTACTCCTGTTCCCTCTCTCATCCCTTCTCCCATCCCTGCTCCCACCCTCTCTCCCATCCATGCTCATCCCTGCTCCCATCCTCTCTCCCATCCGTGCTCATCCCTACTTCCATCTCTGCTCCCATCTTCACTCCCATCCCCACTCCCATCCCTACTCCCATTCCCTCTCCCATCCATGCTCATCCCTGCTCCCATCCCTACTGCCATCTCTGGTCCTGTCTTCACTCCCATCCCCACTCCCATTCCCTCTCCCATCCCCTCTGCCATCCCTGCTTATCCCTGCTCCCACCCCTGCTCATAGCTGCTCCCATCCCCTCTCCCATCTCTGCTCATCCCTGCTCCCATCCCTACTCCTATCCCCACTCCCATTCCCTCTCCCATCCCTTCTCCCATCCCTGCTCCCATTCCCCTCCCATCCATGCTCATCCCTCCTCCCATCCTCTCCCATCTGTGCTCATCCCTACTGCCATCTCCTCTCCCATCTTCACTCCCATCCCTACTCCCATCCCTTCTCCCATCCCTACTCCCATTCCCTCTCCCATCCATGCTCATCCCTGCTCCCATTCCCTCTCCCACCCATGCTCATCCCTCCTCCCGTCCTCTCTCCCATCCGTGCTCATCCCTACTGCCATCTCTGCTCCCATCTTCACTCCCATCTCTACTCCCATCCCTTCTCCCATCCCTGTTCCTACTCCCTCTCCCATCCCTGCCCCTCAGACCATCCTTGCCATCTTCACCATCCTCTTTACTCCAAGCCTTCCCCAACGCTGGGAGATGCTCCGGGGCCACGCGCACTGCCCGGACCCTCCGCTCTCCCCAGGTTCTGCCCCACAGCCCGGCTGCATTGCCCACCCGCTGGAGCTGATCCTTGGAAGCTTGACTGGGATGGGAGCCATGGGGATCCTGGGTACTCACCGCAAGGGGAAGGAGAGCTCCAACTGCTCGATGACCTGCAAGGCAATGGGAGGGGACTGGGCTTAGCGGGCTGGGGACATGCAACATGGGGTGGGGGGTGCTTGGGGGGGACAAGCTACGGCTCTTACCGACTTCTGTGCATCAAACATCAGGTTTTTGTAGAACTGGATAAAGTTGGAGAAAGTCATCTCGTTCCTGGCTTCCACCTCCTGCCAGATAAGGGTGCTGCATGAGAGCAGGGCCACCTGACCGGAGCCAGCGACACCGAGGCTGGCTCCAGCCCAGCTGTGGGGGCTTGAAGACCCTCTCCCTGCAGAGTTGGGGTGCCTGGGGGGTCCTTACCACGAGCTTGTCCCGCAGGAACCTCATATTGGGGACGCGATAGTTCACCTGGGGCAGCATGGCCTTCAGGTCCTTCACCGTGATGCTGCAGGAGGGCGAGCCGGTGTCAGGGCACTGGCCAGACCCCGCAAAGGATGGACAACACCTGGATGGGTGTCAGCTCCTGACATCAAGGGTCCCACCCCAAATCCTGGTGCCAGTGTGGTCTCCACCTGTGTATCCCCTCAGTGGCACAGGACCCCTAATTACGTGGGGTCTGGCATGAGTGTGAGCAGACAATCGAGGAGAGGGAGCATGTCCAAGAACAGATTGGGTGCTCTAAGCCTCACATCTGGAGGTGATGCCCATCTCCATAACCATTTAAGTCCAAATTCACTTGATTTGGGTTTTTTTCCTGATTTGGGGAGATGTTTATGGGCTGCATCAATGGTCCAGCCCCTCCTGGCACTGGTGGAAATGCAGCAGCAAGCATGGGGGCATCGGGGTCCCCACAGTCCTGACAGCAGCAAGGAGGGGACTTGCGCTTGAGTCCCTGATTTCTGGTGCCTTCAAGAACCCCAAATAACCTGGTACTATCTTGCCCCACAAATCCCACTCCCAGCCTGGCTCAGCCTCCAGATTTGGGGTGCACCTTGGGGGGTATGGCCCCATCCAGCCGAACCCACCAGCCACTTCCCAGCAGGGGGCTGTGCTGGTGCTCACCTGCCTTCCCGCGACCGGTCCATCCCATCAAACTGTTTCCGCAGCCACCTGGGAAGGAAGGGATGGACAGACGGTGTTCAGCCCCAGGGGGGGAACAAAACATGGGGGGTTTCACCCCCCAGATCCCCAGATGGGGACTGGGAAACAGGACCTGCTGGTCCTTCCTCACCTCTCAATCTGTAGTGGGGTCTGGGCTTTCTGGGTGTCCGCCACCAGCCAGTTGAGGCCCGTTATCCACAGGTTGATGTCCTCCTCACAGAAAGCTGGAGGAGGAAGAGGAGAGTGGTGAGGCCAGGATGGGGGAAATGGGATGCTGGGGAGGGGGTGAGAGCTCAAGAGTGGCTGGGGGGGGGGGGGGGGGGGCCCCCGAGAGGAATGGGGAAAAAGAAACGTCCATCCCATAGAGGATGATGAAGCACATGGTGAAGTCGAGCTTGCGAGCATCCTCGGGATAGCGCTCGAAGTCCCGTGAGTTCTTTCCCAGGCGGATCTCCTTGATCTCCCGAATGTCGACTGCGGGGAGAGAGGGACATGGGACACCATCCTGCCACCGCGGACCCATGTGTGGGGCTCAGGAAGGCTGCAGGAGGTGGGACTGCCTGGAGACCACATGCCCTCTGGGGACCCTTGTCTCCAGGATGGGGTGTCCCCAAGGCACTGCCCATGGGTGTGTGATGGCATCGGGGATGCCATGGCCATGTGTCCTCCAGGGAGATACATCCCACAGACCTGCAGGGACATGTCTGCTAGTGTGATGGCACCATGGCTTTGCATGTCCTTCAGGGAGTTATGTCCCCAGAATGAGGTGTCCCCATGGCTCTGCTCGTTGGTGCATGATGGCCTTATGGGTGCCACGGCCATGTGTCCGCAAGGGAACCACGTCCCCAGGACGAGGTGTCCCTGTGTGCTGCTGTAGCTGTGCAATAGCACCATGGGTGCCATGGCCACATGTCATCAAGGGAACTGTGTCCCCAAGAAGGGGTGTCCCTGCAGCGCTGCTGCTGGTCCATGACAGCACCATGGGTGCCATGGCCATATGTCCTCCAGGGACTCATGTCCCTAGGATGTGGTGTCCCCACAGCTCTGCCCACCAGTTTCCCAGCTTTGTGGGTGCCACACGTCCTCCAGGCTCAACCTGCCCCATCCCAACCAGCACATCTCCAGCCACCTCTCCCCTGCCTTCTCC